TGACAAATGTTCCTCCTTCACAATCCCTCTGATTGATGCAGAACTGGTTCCCCGGTTCCCCCTGACGGAGTCTGGTTCTTCCCAGTGTTTCGCTTCTCCTTTCAGTGGATCAGCCATTATCAGGGACACAAGTCTGGCACAACATCTCACTTCTCCTGTTTTGGCACAACTAAGATTGGAGCGAAGAATAATGTTGGGAAATTTACAAACTAAACTTGAACTGAAAACAGTGAAGTCAGATTATACATTTAAACCACCACATCCTCAGTGTGATCAATGGATAACAGCACAGCAGGGGTCTCACACTCGAGCTGTCATTTGCTGTGCTTATCTACATCGAAATTACAATTCTGGCTGAAAACTCTGGATGGATTTGGCTGAGAACTGCAACCAGACATGCTGTCAAAATTACTTATACATTCAGCTAAAAATATCAAGTCATTTTGCAAAATTTTTTAAATTAAACTTCAATTATACTGAAAAAAACACACACAAGCCAATGAAACACCCATAATTAATGTACAGTGAATGAGTGACATTTTACCAGCATCGCCATGGCAGCACGATGGTGTAACTCATTGGTGTAACTGCAGGCAGCAGGAGCAGGTATACTAGATCCACTTGTTAAGTGTGACGTCATGCGAAGCGGCTCCCGGGTCCAAGCGCCCAATCAAACTGTATGGGAAGACTCAACAAATGTAATAATAAACGTTACAAAGTACTTTCGAAAATCACAATCGCAGTTTATATCTCCATGCCTAATATTCGATGACCAGAAAGTAATTCATATTTTAACAGTTTATAAAAAGTGTCAGTGATGCAGCAGGTCCTGTCGTGAACATCATGATTTAATATAAAATTTACTTTAATGTGTGATATGACCTAAAATTTGTGTTTTCTCCATTCAAATGAGTAGCGGCTTGGACCCGGAAACCCTATTCAATACGTCACCACTTAACAAGAGGATAGAAATGTCCTGCAGGGGCGTAATTGAGCAGACTTTGGGAACTGTGACGCATAACATGCTCATATTTTGGCCAAAAACCAAGTCAACAACACTTACGTTAATGCATTTGTCTCCCAATCATTTTTTACAGACGAAAATTTAAATAAAACCTGAAATATAAAGAAGTAAAACTGTTCATATTTAGTAAAAAAATCATATTTTATAAAACTATAAAATATATTTCAGTAAAACTGTTTAGTTAATCAGTAATAAACATGCATATGCAGAGACAAAATACTCAAAGACTCATTGGGCTCTATCATACACTCAATGAGGTGCAAGACGTGTTTGGTGTTTGGCTATTTTCAGACCAGTGCAACAGTAATTTTCACATTTTGTGACATGTTGTTTAAATGCCAAATCTTTGCAGACTCATGTGTGTGTGCTGGCGTATGAAGGTGTGTTAAGGTGCATTGTTGAAACGCTGCTATTCTGAAGAGCTGAAATAGACCAACAGCACCATTGACCAACTAAAAGCTGCTCTAAAGTCAGCAGTGTGTGTTAGTTATGCACTTATGCAGGTCTAAACACTCACACACTGCTGAATACACACAGGATGAACAGCAACACAAATATCTTTACGGATGAACAATTACAGGATTAAAATGATCCAGAAATGATGATGTTCTCCATCAATATAAACAGCACTGCCTCCAGGCCTTCTTCACCTCGGGGGGCTTCTTCAGTTTATTGATGACCATCTGCATCTGTATAATGTGATTATTACTATCAGTGTTATTGATGATCTGCAGATTTATAATAAACACAAGTGTAGATGTGTCCAGCTGTGGGGTTTTGGAGACGTCTGCATTAGCATATGTGGATAAGAACAGGACGTGTGTTTGGATATAACTCAGTTTTCTGACCACACTTTATTATTATTGTTCATTTATTTCTCTGCTGGAGATTAGAATTGAATTTAGAAATAGTTCTGAAGCAAATCTTTGTGTTTAACAAAGGAAATTAAACATGTGGGCTAATGGATGTGTTCAGTGGAGAGAGTTACCACCGTTTCCTCACTTCACCAAAGTAAAAGAGTAAAGTAAAGGAGTAAAGGAGTAAAGTAAAGGAGTAAAGTAAAGGAGTAAAGGAATAAAGTAAAGGAGTAAAGTAAAGGAATAAAGGAATAAAGTAAAGGAGTAAAGTAAAGGAGTAAAGGAATAAAGTAAAGGAGTAAGGGAATAAAGGAATAAAGTAAAGGAGTAAAGTAAAGGAATAAAGGAATAAAGTAAAGGAGTAAAGTAAAGGAGTAAAGGAATAAAGTAAAGGAGTAAAGTAAAGGAATAAAGTAAAGGAGTAAAGTAAAGGAGTAAAGTAAAGGAATAAAGTAAAGGAATAAAGTAAAGGAGTAAAGTAAAGGAATAAAGTAAAGGAGTAAAGTAAAGGAGTAAAGTAAAGGAATAAAGTAAAGGAGTAAAGGAATAAAGTAAAGGAGTAAAGGAATAAAGTAAAGGAGTAAAGGAATAAAGTAAAGGAGTAAAGGAATAAAGTAAAGGAGTAAAGGAATAAAGTAAAGGAGTAAAGGAATAAAGTAAAGGAGTAAAGGAATAAAGTAAAGGAGTAAAGTAAAGGAGTAAAGTAAAGGAATAAAGTAAAGGAATAAAGTAAAGGAATAAAGTAAAGGAATAAATTAAAGGAGTAAAGTAAAGGAGTAAAGTAAAGGAATAAAGTAAAGGAGTAAAGTAAAGGAATAAAGTAAAGGAGTAAAGTAAAGGAGTAAAGTAAAGGAATAAAGTAAAGGAGTAAAGGAATAAAGTAAAGGAGTAAAGGAATAAAGTAAAGGAGTAAAGGAATAAAGTAAAGGAGTAAAGGAATAAAGTAAAGGAGTAAAGGAATAAAGTAAAGGAGTAAAGGAATAAAGTAAAGGAGTAAAGTAAAGGAGTAAAGTAAAGGAATAAAGTAAAGGAGTAAAGGAATAAAGTAAAGGAGTAAAGGAATAAAGTAAAGGAGTAAAGGAATAAAGTAAAGGAGTAAAGGAATAAAGTAAAGGAGTAAAGTAAAGGAGTAAAGTAAAGAGGCTGAATGGAGGAGGCTGGTTCTTTATCTTCGTGCTGCAGATGCTCTGTTTAACTGTGTTCTCACTAGTGAAGTGTTCAGTTTTTACACTTATGAAGTCGCCATGTAAAGAGCAAATGCACCATGGAGCGACACAACTAACTCTTAAAGGGAATGAGAGACGAGACTCTGATTGGTTTAATGCAGGTTCTGCTCAAAACACACCCAGAACTCATGAAGAGAATCAGCACAGCCCTGTTAGAGCATGCGCCTGCTTCACAGACTGTTTTTCCCATCCTTAAAAGTGGATTCGGACATAACCTTACCCCTTTTGCTCCATGCGCTTTAGACTTTGCGCCTAGATCATTAAATTAGAGCCCTGTGTGCGAGTCTGACTGTTTCACAGCTGATGGAAACCACTCAAAAAATAAAAGAAAACAATTGACTCTCTTTTATTGTAATAACATGTATAGTAAAAATATTTTTCATACATTCTGTACACAATGTGGCCTCAGAGCTTTCCTTTTGGAAAGGCATGAACAAAACCATGAAAGTAAAGGGAAGCTGTACACTGATGTTTAAAAATGTCCAACTTCATGTCAAACGCAGTTTAAGACAAACGCAGGCGCTTGACTTCCTCCAGGAGAGAGTCGGACGCCGCTGCAGGTCCAGCACAGGCCTCACACTCCTTTACAGCGATCCAGAATCAACACAAATTATTGCTCGGTGAACGTCAGCTAATCCAATCAGTCACACAAGCGCTGAAAAGCGCGTTCTCGTCAAATCAAACCAAGGCGATTGCTAACAAAACTAGCATTCAAAAAGCAAAATGGAGAACTACACGTCTAAACAACTAGCCTTCAGATGCTGCCGATAATCAAACTACAGAGATCACCTGACGAGCGCTGGCTGGGCAGGTCAGGGGTCACTGGCACTCACGCACACACACACACACAAACACAATGATGCACACACAACCGCATACATACAGACACATGCACATGGACACGCACACACATGTATGTACATGTGCATGGATGGACACGCACACACAAATGCATTCACCCATATGCATGTACACATGTGCAAGCACACACACATGCACGTGCCCATATGACCACACATGCACGCTCACACAAGCAAACCCACACGCACCTATATGACCACACATATGTATAGACACATGTGCGTGCAACCCCAGGTGCCCACACACACACACACACACACACACACACACACACACACACACACACACACACACAGACACACACACAGACACACAGACACACAGACACACAGACGAACGTGAATGACAGACTGACACACTCCTGCTCAGTGTTGAAGGTTGGACTCTCTTCATATCCATCACTTCTCCTCAACAGTGATCAGACACCGCCGGAGAGCAGACTAGCAGAGTCATCTGCTTTATATGAGCTGCTGTGTGTTCGTGTGCATAAAGAGCGCGCACACACACACACACACACTCATCTGTCACTCCTCCGTCATCACTCGTTCAGAGAGAGAATGATGTCGTCCTCCAGGTCAGAGTTATCAGAGCTGTCCGCTGCAGAACACACACACACACACACACACACATTAAAATAAGACAACACATATAAACAGATTAAGGTGTGTGTGTGTGTGTGTGTTCTCTAGTGTGCACGCATGAATAACTCACTGTTGTCCAGCACCAGCTCCGCATCTTGCTCATTATCATCAGAATCATCATCGTCATCATCATCTTCATCATCATCATCGTCGTCGTCATCATCATCGTCATCATCATCATCATCCGCCTCTTCATCCAGCAGGCGAGCCACTTCCTCATCATCAGACGGAGAGAAATCCTGCTCTCCGTCCTCCTCCTCTTCCCCGTTGTTGTCGTTCTCCAGTTCGGCCAGCAGGGGGTCGGTGTCGATATCGTCAATGTCATCATCAGAGTCATCATCATCCTCTTCATCCTGATCATCTTCCTCCTGAAGCACACCGATCAAATCAGTTAAAGCTGCCGAGACCTATTTCAGTGTGTTGATGTGCTTCCTACTGGAGCTGAATATTGAGTAGGGGGCGGGGCTTTCTTTTGCATATCATTCCCTCATGGCCAAATAAAGGTAAGAGGGGCGTGGCTAAGATATTAATATGCTGTTTCTATGGTAACTCTAAGTATTTTAAATTACTATAAAGTTTTCAATTCAATTGGCGGGCCGAACTCGGCCTCCGAGGTAATGTGTTCCGGCCCTCCAAACAGCGTGACGAAGACATCAGAAATAAATTTAGTTTAGTTTAAAAACAGCCGCTATAGATATGAAGTGACGTGCATCTGTTCAACACAGCACGAGCTGCAGAGGCTGCGCAGAGTGCGAGTTACCTGATATTAAGCGAGTGGCGGGAGCAGCTGAAAACATTTGGATGTGTTCGTTTTGTACAATACACTGATATCGATATTAGGGATGCAATGATTAGCCGATTTCACTATTAACCGTGATTTTATTCGTCACGCTTAATCGTGAAGGCTTCTCAATGCTGCGTTTCTGTTGCATGGACTGAAACTGCTGCAACTAAACAGAGTTATGGCAGCTGTGCTCTTGTTTAAAGTTCTGAGCTTATACCGAGGCTAATACACACGCACACTGGATTAACTATAGCAGCAGGCCGTTCACATATTGCATCTTTTCCACATGCAATTTTATTTCCAATATATGCATATAAAAGCAGAGCGACGCCCGGTAGAAAACACGTCACGCTACGGCTTTCAGTGCAATGTAAACAAAACATGTTAGACACATTATTAAAATGATTATGCATGCATGAATGCAGATGATAACAGTTTATGTATATATTTAGCTAATATAAAGCTTAAATTTACATTAGACGTGATAACCGTGTAATCAAGATTTTTTTCAAGATCATCGTACAAAAAAAATCTATACTCACTGCATCCCTAAATGTTACACAGTTTAAAACACCACATATGAATGAGACTGAATGTAGAAGAAGCCTGCTTCAGCAATGCACTGCTTTTGTTTTGCTCTGAAATACAACATTTGAATGTAGCCTATGAAAAGCCTACTGTACAATGCAGTGATGTTATGTAGTTTAAAATAAACATAATAACATTTTAATGTGGAAAAAAGCCAACGTGGGTGTCTTAAGGAGTAAAAATACAGCATATGGGCTCTGATATTGCTGTTGCATCATCACTCATATCTCTCCAGCCCTCATTTGGGATGTTTTTATGAACTGGCCCCCTCGGCAAACTAATTGAACAGCCCTGATCTGGCGGGTTTGTCTACTGTCATCTTTACAGTGTGCGTTTGTGATTTTAGGAGGCGTGGCTTTGGACAGCAGGGGTTTCAAAGATATTATGCTAACTGTTAGCATTTCGGCAGATCACCTACTGCACCCTTGAATAAGTTGCATCTAAAATGTACATTTCGATACTGTACAAACCGTTCGTCAACCCACCTAGGCTATTTTTTATATGGACAATCAAATTCAAAACCGCCCAATCCGGCAACTCATTTGAATTCACAAAACAATAAAAATAAACATTGCAATTTTCATCTTGACTTCAAATTAAATTCATCTATTTATGTACGCGCTTTTCACACTAATCATCAATGATGCCGGTTTCTCACCTGATCTTCCTCGTCCTCTTCCTCCTCTGCGAGTCTCTGTCGACCCACTTCATACAGACGACACACAGTGTCCATATTTATCGAGTCCTGGTTCTGTTACACACATTCACACAAAACACACAGAGTTATTAATCTGTACAGGACAACATTTTTTCATAAAATAATAATAATCATCATCATAATAATAACCCAAACCCTCTCATGAAGGCTTCATTCTATGCTGTATATAGCATAACAATGACTTTGTAGATATATTTGATTGATTTTGATTGCATTAAAAGGTGTTATAAAGTTCAAATGAACAAAAAACAACTGAATACTCCTAAATATGCAAAGACATGACAAATACATTAGAGATCAAAGCACAAGATACCTCGATGACAGCCAGATAGCAGTCTTTGGTGTCTGTGCAGAGGTCAAAAATGTTCCTCTTCACGTCAATGGTGGCTGAGAAGGCAAACAGAGCATCGGGATTACAAGATACACAACTAACGTCCACCGTCCATAAACAACAAACAATTATGATGATGAACACATTCATTAATAAATGCATTAAGTGTTTAATTCAACGTTTGCCAAAATGCAGTGATGTACATCTCGTCTATAATCACAGACACATGTATGGAAATCTGAGTGTTTTAGTGCACTCATATATTTCTGTCGGACATTGCATATTTAAAATCTAATATTGAGCATGTTTGTGATGGAGCTGATCATACCGATGGGTTTGTAGTCGGTGGCATCAAAAGTCCTGAAGGAGGATCCGAACGGACTCTTCATCTGCTGCTCCATCATATCATCCTCATCATCAGCCTGCAGCATCGCTACAACACACAGATTTACACATCATTTATTGACCTTATTCTTTACATTTCTTTGGCTCAAGACTTCCACTCTCATTTATTAGATTGGCTCCCCTTTGATTGTGTTAAGGGGCTGTTTTTGCCCCATTGACTTCCATTATTAATCATATTTATTGATTGCAAATCAATAATAATCATGCATTGTTGCTGGTTTTCCATGTTGCAATCAATTTGCAATCAATAAATGTGATTATAATAGAAGTCAATGGGGCAAAAACAGCCCCTAACATCACCAAAGAGGAGTCAATCTGAACAGAGTGTATTGTAGAGCACATTTACAAAGCATTTTCCCAAAATGTGTGTCAAAATAAGATTTGTCAGCAAAAATCCTCACATTTGCTGAAACACAAAGTTGTGGCCACATTAACACTCAAAGGCTGCATTTACACTGCACTGGTCAAGTGACTCAATTCCGATTTGCACTGAAATGCACAGATGGGATATGGCCAGTGTACGTGTAAGCAGGAACAAATCACATGGATTTTGATTTACTGAAATCAGATTCAGGCCTTGTTCATATGTGGAAATGTATCCGATGATGAATCAGATCTGTGTCCTCGTGTCTGCAGTGTAAGCAGGTAGATCGGATTTTCACCTGTCAATGCGAGTCGCGCATCAGTAAAAACCGTAACGAATGACGTCAAGGGTCTGTTCTTCATAGCTGGCTTAAATGATCTAAGATGATTTGGCAGATGCTGGATCTTTTAATCTTGATAAATGATCTCTGGCTAATTTGGTTCTTCAAACAAGTTCGCGAATCAGATTAGAATGTCTGGATGAACTGATCTGAGATCGCTGCGTGTGTTGTGAAGGACAGATCTATCCGTCCTCAAAATCATGATCAGCAATGCAACGATTGACTGACGGCACAGCAGCGTAATGACATCATCTGATTAATATTCAATTATCCATGTGAGCAAAATTAAATCAAATTCATTGGAAACGGTTTGTTAAATATGACACGCTATAACTTTACACCTTATTGTGGGCTGCATGATTGGCCCTTTCACGTGTCAAGAGCAGTTTATTCAATTTTACAGTTAGAGCGGATTTTCCTCATTATAGTACCCATAGTAGTATTATTGTAGCCGGGTTTTTTTATTGATGTAAAGAATAGCCCCTTTCACACAGTGATACCGGTAAATTTCTGGAAAATTTCCAAAACGACTTTACCGGTATATTCAAAAAAGCGCTGTTCACACAGGCGGGGACGTTACGGAAATTTTCCGGAAAAGAGCATTCACACATCCATTCCAAAATAGCGGTAAATTCTGACATCATTCACCACAAACGAGCTTTAAACGGCTGCGCTTGTGTTTGTAAACATTTGACTGAATTACAAACTCTGTGGATGATCAATATTGTGAACAACTTTCGCAGGATCACTTTCTCATGTCGAGATGTTCATAATATGTGCGTGTGCTGGCGCTCACAGGCTGTTTCACAGGCACACGCAAAGCTTGAAGGTAAACAAAAACGGCTTATCATAAGCATCTCATCGATGATTATTTACACAGTTGGCATTAAGAAGAACATATAAACGTGATCTGACTAACTTCTAGCAGCTAAATGTGTCTGGGAAAATATTCAAAGGCTTTTATTCTCACAAACCGCGCGGACGTAAATGCGTCTGACTGTTGTGATTGGCTAAAGCAGACGTCTCACGTCCCACGTTCTAGACGTGCACGCGCTTATTACGGGAATCTTCCTTCTGCATTCACACAGCGCAGCATTCCGGCAAATTACCGGTAATGTTACAACTTCTCTTTCCGGAAAATAGCCAGAACGAATTTACCGGTATTTTCAAAAAGGGCCCGTTCACACATACAAGCTTTCCGGAAAATTGCCGCCAATTTTCCGGAAAGGTCTGTATGTGTGAAAGGGGCTAATGACTGGATGTTTTAAAAAGCATTTTGATATTGGTAAAGGCGTCTGCAACTTTTATGAAGCATCAAATCACCGTCATATTAACTGTCAAAACATGTTCATGACTGCATACATGTATTATTGCTTTTAAAAAAAGTCACATATTCTGCATTTCTATTATCATACACAATTTGTACTAAAGCGATCTAAAAAGTTCATATCAATAAGTTTTCTCTTTGCACCAGCAGGTGGCAGTCTCTGTACTTTCATTTTGGGGGTGCAGATTGCATAAGTTTTATGAATATATATATAACTTTATTTATTTTATTAATACCTATAACTTTATATAATTAAAAAAAAAAGTATTTTCCCAAGTGTATATAACTACTACTGTAAGAAAATGTCAGAATTCAGAACATACTTTCTGTATTATCTTTGCTTGAACTGAGCCGATCTAATCCTGTTTATATGAACTGAACCTGCTCCTGCTCCTGACCAGGTTTGCGCTAGCAGAACTGTTGCCATGACAACAACTCTCAGATCAGTTTTGAAGAACGAAACGATCCTGGACCAAGTCAAATTGTCAATAACCAAATCCAGCTAACTGAGTAATCCACGTACGAAGAACGGACCCCAGGTCTGACACTTTCACTTCAAAACAGACTTCAGCAGAGTCCCAAACCTTAAATCTCATACACGAGGACTGAAACAGGTTTCATATTGTCATATAGCACAGGTATTTAAGCATGTTATCGAGAGCGAGAGAGCGCAATGTCCACTACGTAACCAATATAAACTAATATAAAACTAGTGCATGCATCACGATCAGAAATCACGCCATGGACATTACATTAAGATGCCTAAAGGTTTAAAAAAGCCTATATATCAAAAGAAGATGGACAAATGAGAAGCTTTCTGTCATAGACTATAGTAAAACAGCTTGTCAAAAGCTGCGAACAGATTACATACAGGAATAGAGAAAAGAGCACTCTTTAATTATCAGCTGTTAGTCAGCGCCCGCTCTTTTTTTCCTAGACATTCACCTTTGTCGTGTGCTGTGTAAATGCAGATCAGAGTCACTTTTAAAAGATGATTTTATTTATTTATTTATTTTTTTTAATCGGATACAGTCACAAAATCGGAAATGACCATCAAGATCTGCAGTGTAAATGCAGCCAAAACCAGGCCAAAGTGGATAAAAATGACCCAACAGCACAGCTGGTTCTGCTGCTTTATGTCACAAACTGACATTTTCTGATTACATTACTCTACTTTTTATGTATAGTCATGAACACACTTGTTTGTAGAGCGAGCAGTTTGACCATTTTCTGCCATTTATTATTTATTATTCTAAATAAGAAATGCTAAAATAGCAAAAAAACAAGCACATAAGGTCAATAAAGCACCAATAAAAACAAGTATTGTAACTATTAACATAAAATACACCACAGAATGAGACCAGACAGATCACAACTGACTATGATTAAAAGCCAGAGAGGAAAAGGTCTCACCTCCATAAATGACGGTTCCGTTGTTGTTGAAGACGATCCTGCACTGATCTAGAGCCGGCACCGTGTGAAGAAGATGAAACGTCCTCAGATCCCACTGAGCTCCAGTTAAAGAAACCGCTTCATATTAAGAGCTTCATCCTTTAATAGCCCACCATATCATTCGATT